AGAGACTCATGTATCCCAGTGTTCATCACAGCCCTGCTGACAATAGCTAGGACATGGAAGCAACCTAGATGTCCATCAGCAGATGAATGGATAAGAAAGTAGTGGTACATACACAACAGAATATTATTCAGCTATTAAAAAGAACACATTTGAATCAGTTCTAATGAAGTGGATGAAACTGAAGCCTATTATAGAGTGAATTAAGTCAGAAAGAAAAACACCAATACAGTATATTAATGCATATATATGGAATTTAGAAAGATGGTAATGATGACCCTATATGCAAGACAGCAAAAGAGACACAGATATAAACAGACTTTTGGACTTATGGAAGAAGGCGAGGATGGGATGATTTGAGAGAATAGCACCGAAACATGTATATTACCACATGTGAAACAGATCACCTATCCAAGTTCGATGCATGAAACAGGACACTCAAAGTCAGTTCACTGGGACAACCCAGAGGGATGGGATAATCTCTTAAGCCCTTGCAATATCATGATGGGTAATACTATTGTTATTTGCCTAAGGGCCTTGGGTAGCCAGATTGTAACTACACTGTTGAGAGCGGGTCTCTGAGCCAGGTCAATAATGTTATGTAGGATAGAGGTTTCTACTCACACATCTTGACCTCCTGAAGGACGAGAGATGGAGGCTAACCACAGAGGCAGCCAACTAGATTTAAATGATTGAGCACCCCCACTCCCCCAAAAAACTCTGGACATCAAGACTGGGTAAGCTTCCTGACCTGGAAATACATGTAACTATTATATCAATTTTTGATGAGTTTTCTGTAGTGAATTATCAAAAATTTTTAAAGGTGGTCTTGCTGCTGCTGCTAAGTCACTTCAGTCGTGCCTGACTCTGTGCAACCCCATAGACGGCAGCCCACCAGGCTCCCCCATCCCTGGGATTCTCCAGGCAAGAACACTGGAGTGGGTTGCCATTTCCTTCTCCAATGCATGAAAGTGAAAAGTGAAAGTGAAGTCGTTCAGTCGTGTCCGACTCTGTGCGACCCGATGGACTGAAGCCTACCAGGCTCCTCCGTCTATGGGATTTTCCAGGCAAGGTGGTCTTAGGGACCCCCAGTTGCAACTGAAGTCAGATGTGAAGATGGTCCTGTGTGAATTTTTTTCTAACTTCACAGTTGGCTAAATTTCCTAGTCTCTAAAAGATGCTTGAAAGTGAAAGTGTTAGTTGCTCAGTCTTGTCTGACTCTTTGCAACCCTATGGACTGCAGCCCTCCAGGCTCCTTCCCCCATGGGATTCTCCAGGCAAGAATACTGGAGTGGGTTGCCATGCCCTTCTCCAGGGGATCATCCCAACCCAAGGATGGAATTTGGGTCTTCTGCATTACAGGCAGATTCTTTACTGTCTGAGCCGCCAGGGAAGCTCAAAAGATGCTTACTTTAAGACAATAAAAATGTTTATACAAATGTGAAGGAAAGAAGTCTTTTTACCAAATCTCAAACTTTACTTTTTGTATCTATGGATTTATCACCATGAAAGATGAGGTAATTAGCACTTATACCTTCTTCTTTCTTCCCACCCAATTCCCATTTTTGTTAGTTATAAACATTTCTATGTTGTCAGGATTTACATTTACATTCCATCTACAAACGTAATTCAGAGTTTTAAATCTTCTACATTTAAATGGATTCAATCAAACCTTTTTAATAGAAGGTGGTTCCTTCATTTCTAAAGACTGCTTTATCTTCATATTCACCAGAATTTTTCATTTAGTGAATATAAAGCAGTAGTATATTCCTGTAAGTACATAGGAATTACATTCTCTGATTTCGTAAAAGTTTGAGGATGCCACTTTTTTGCATTTGGACTTTCAGGACAACTTCGTTAAACTAGCATTCTTAGCTGAAAACATTACTTTCCCTTTGGGGGGAACTGGGTGTAATGTTTTCATTTTGAAAGATGCCTGAGCCATTTCCCATCTTCACCCTCTACTTTGTACATCTTTTGCTTTTTCTGCCTTAGTATCTGCTTATGGTTCTTCAATTTACATTCAGTAATTTCACCAGAAAATATTTTCTGATAATCATTCTGTACCATATATTGAACCCCTGAAATATGTGCTCTTTTTGCTAAATATTCAAATCTTTCTTTTCAGGAAGATTTCTTCTATTAGGTTTCAAGTAGTTTTTTTCACTTTGAGTTTTTTTTCTGTAAGAACACAAATTAAGCACATGTCAGATCGTTGTCTATGTTTTCATTTTATCTTTTTCATTTATTTTATATTATTATTTGCTTATTCTTTAGTTTGTGTGACTCCTTAATCCCATCCATCTTGCTCACTAGTAGTGTTTACAGCCTTATTTATTTTTAAGTTCTTCAATGTGATGTTTAGGTCTGTAACATTTTCATTTTTCCCTTATATTTTTCTCCTTTGGGTTGAGCATGGCTACTTTTCAACTTCCTGTGTTGATTTATGCCTTTCCTGCACTTTCCTTTGGGCTCTTATTTTTAAACAGAATACTATTACAAATTTTTGAACCATTGGAAATTACTTTTCTAAACATTTTCTGGCTATTTGGGGGGACTTATTTTGATATTCAGCCATATTTTTTTTTAGCAGTTTTTTATTTAGATTCATTTTCTTTCTTCTTTTTTTTTCCAGCTTTATTTCTTTCGATTTCATGTTTGTTCCTTCCCGATTATAACTACTGGTCATAGAAAAGGAGAAGGTGGTCTACAACTTTTATGTGGCTGTCTCTCAATTGAGCTGTCATCAAATTTTTTATATTATTTGCTTTGGAGGCATTTATGGGACACACCTCTCTTCATGCATTTAAATAAATAGGAAACGCAGCACACAAGAAGGACATTTGGGTCACAGGAAATTTGTGCTGCTGCCTCATCTTTATCTTTTGGTTGTAACATCTTACCTCTTTTTAGATGCTGACTCCTTTCTGAGAGGGTAACTGTAAGCCTCCGATAGGTTTAAATTTTTGAGAGACACACTTATCAAATTTCCTGACATAATTATGAAACAATTATTGGTCTAATTTTTTTCTGATTACCTGTTATGTAATGAAACAACACACAAATGAAATGATAAAAGACTAGAATTCACATGACATTAGGGACTTTTTTTCTTCCATTTCCAAACTGAAAAAAAAAATCATAAGTTTTTCCAAATATAACTGGAGACAATCATAACTTCCAGTATTATGGACATTATAACAGTCTGACAGGGACTTTAATATATTAGAAAATTACAATGAAGTCAAGCGTCATTGTTTTCCTATTACATAATTACTTAGGAATGACTCAGCTTCACCAAAAATGTTTAATATTAATAGCAAATTTTTAATGGAACCAGTGCAATCCACTGAGAAAACTAACCATAAAGAATGCAGTACTTGATAATATCAGCACTTATTATTCCACCAATTATTTTGTTCACAATTCACATGAATTTCTTAAATGTCAACAAGATCTTCACAATCTCAAAGAACATATTTATAAAAATGGTTTGTACCTTCTTTAAGTTTCAAATATCAGAGCAATTAATACCAGCTTTGAATCTACTTCTTTACTTTTAAAAATTACACTTTTATCTCTTTTGATAATCACTAAATGCTTCTTTTCTACTTCTTTAAATTATTCTCTTTATCATCTCCTTCCTTTTATATTCTTTGATTTTGTTTTAGCTGTTTTTAAAAATTAACTTATGGAAATGGATATTTAGCTTACTAATTTTCAGTTATTCTTCTCTGAGTACACAAGTTTTGCAATGTAACATTTTCATTATCATTCTGCTTAAATTATTTTCTATTTTTATTTTTCTATTATAATTTTTTCTTCGACTCATAGATATTTAGAGATGCTTCATTTTCAAATATTTAGGAAAAGATTTAGCTGTTATTTTAAACATTTCTATCTTAATTAAGCTGTTATCAGAGAACATGATCCATATATATTTGATCCTATGAAATTTGCTGGAGTTCACTAAGTGGTCCTGTAATCTTTGTGAATGTTTTGTAAATGCTTAAAAATAATGGACATTCAGCAGTTTTTAAATGCAGTATCATCTGAAAAGACCCTGATGCTGGGAAAGATTGAGGGCAGGAGGAGAAGGGGATGACAGAGGATAAGATGGCTGGATGGCATCACCGACTCAATGGACAAGGGTTTTGGGTGGACTCTGGGAATTGGTGATGGACAGGGAGACCTGGCATGCTGCAGTTCATGGGATCGCAAAGAGTCAGACACGACTGAGCGACTGAACCGAACTGAAATGCAGTGTCCTATATATGTTCATCAGTGCAAGTAGTTTCTTTATTGTATTATTTAATACATTATATCATTGAAAAAAATTTTTGCATATTCTATCAAAGAGATAAAATATTCTACTGTGATTCTGGATTTGCTTATTTCAAATTTTCATTTTTATTCTTTAAAAATATTATTCTTGAATATAAATTCTATTTGATAATTATTTTCTCCAAGCAAGTTGAAGGTATCTGTCCACTATATTTTGTCTTCCATGGTTGCTGTTGAGAAATCAGCTATATTTTACTCCTAAGAAGGTAATTTCTTGGCTACTTTTAAAATGTTAGTAATATCTTGGCATAGTTTTTAAGGAAACTCTATATTAGAAGCCTACATATAATTTTTGAGTGGTATAAAAATGAATGACAGTAAAAATTGTGGAGGGAAAACACAGAAAATGAAAAGAATCAAATTAATATATATCAGGACTTATGCTTGCTGTTTATACATTTTATCATTAAATTTGAAAGCTGAACAAAAGAACTAACTATCATTATCCCCATATTACAGAGGGAAAAGATGGGAGATAGGCAAGGTTTTCATAATCTATGGCACCATGGTTTACCTAAAGGCAACTATGGTATTTATAGGAGTTCTTAACATTTTTTTTTAAAAAGTGATAATATTTACTATAAGTTACAGTATAAAGTCTAGAAGAGAGATTAGCAGATCTTAATATATCTCTTTTTTAAAGAAAATATTGTACTTACTTTGTGGACGAAATTCGCTCTCCCGACTGATCCAATTTTCCCAGTGTGATTCATGAAGCTAATGTTTCCTTCAGTAGCTCCATAAAACTCACAGATCTTAATATTTCCAAATCTGTCTAAGAATTCTCTCCACACATCACTGCGTGCTCCATTTCCAACTGCCAAACGTACCTGATGATCCTTTTCTCCTTCCCTCTGTTAGAAGAAAATATTTTCCTCTTAATTTATTAATTCCAATTCCCAATTCTTCCTTTCATTGCTATTACTTAAATGGCAACCATCCAGAAGTAAGTTGGTTATGGAAAAGAGTAAAAAAATTCATGTAAGTCTGTGGCATAACTGTGTCCCATAGCTAATGAGCTAACACTGGCCCAGAGTAATACAGCTTTTACCTTCCTATATCTGGGAAAATCTCTTCCTAAATTTGAGATGCTGAAGTCTTATTTTCCCTGGTATATATTTTCTTCCTTACCAGAATGGAGGTTTCTCAAAAATTTAAAAACAGAACTACCATGTGATCCAATATAGTGCACCCCATGAAGATGGGGAAAAAATGGAAACAGTGACAGACTTTATTTTCTTGGGTTTCAAAATCACTGCAGACAGTGACTGCAGCCATGAAATTAAAAGATGCTTGCTCCTTGGAAGGAGAGCTATGACAAACCTGGACAGCATTTTAAAAAGCAGAGACAAAGACACTTTGCTGACAAAGGTCTATATAGTCAAAGCTGTGGTTTTTCCAGTAATCATGTATGGATGTGAGAGGTGAAACATAAAGAAGGCTGAGCATCGAAGAATTGATACTTTCGAACTATGGTGCTGAAGAAGACTCCTGAGAGTCCTTGGGCAGCAAGGAGATCAAACCAGTAAATCCTAAAGGAAATCAACTCCAAATATTCATTGGAAAGACTGATGCTGAAGCTGAAGCTGAAGGTCCAATACTTTGGCCACCTGATAAGAAGAGCCAACTTATTGGAAAAGACACTGATGCTGGGTTGAAGGCAAGAGGACAAGGGGGCGACACAGGATGAGATGGTTGGATGGCATCACTGAATCAATGGACACAACTCGAGGAGAGAGTGAAGGACAAGAAAGCCCCAGTCCACAGGGTCTCAAAGAGTCAGACGTGAATGAGCTACTCAGCAGCAATAACAAATATTCACTGTGGCATTATTTACAAAAGCCAAGACATGGAAGACCCTAGTACCCATCAACAGATGGATGAAGAAAATGTGATATAGATACACATGAATATTATTCCATCATAAAGAAGAATGAAATCTTACCAACATAGATGGACTTTGAGGGCATTATGCTAAGTGAAATAAGTCAGACAAAGAAAGATAAATACTGTATGATCTCACATATATGTGGCATCTGAAAAACAAACAAACAAACAGCAGCAAAAACAAAACCCCAAAACCCTAAACAGAAAACATATTGGTGGTTGCCAGGGGCAGGATAAGGAGTGGGCAAAAATGGGTGAAGGGGGTCAAAATGTACAAATCTCTAGTCATAAAATAAGCATGTCCTGACGATGCACAACACAGTGTGGTGACTATAATTAACAATACTGAATTACATGTTTGGAAGTTGCTAAGAGAATAGAAAGTGAAGTTGCTCAGTCATGTCCGACTCTTTGTGATCCCATGGACTGCAGCCTACCAGGTTCCTCCGTCCCTGGGATTTTCCAAGCAAGAATACTGGAGTGGGTTGCCATTTCCTTCTCCAGGAGATCTTCCCAACCCAGGGATTGAACGCGGATTGCCCACATTGTAGGCAGATGCTTTACCATATGGTGGTCTGAGCCACCATAATTGGCTCTTAAACAACCAGGGATTAAGGACAAGGACCCGCCATGCAGAAGAAAATCCAAACATAACTTCTAACTGGTCCTTAGTATCATCAGTTCCACATTCCCAGATTCAACAACAGCAGATAATGTAATATTATGATATTTACCACTGAAAAAAATCTGCGATAAGTGGACCTTTGTAGTTCAAATCCATGCAATTCAAGGGTCACTGTAAATCTTAAAGTTCTTATCACAAGGAAAAGAAAATTTGAAACTATGTATGGTCTTGAATGTTAATTAGACTTACACTGGTAATCAATTTGCAATACATAGAATACACTGAATCATTATATTGCATACCTAAAACTAATATGTTTATGTTAATTATACCTCAATTAAAAAGTTATAGTAAGGATATAATATCAGCTTAGTCATGGTAAAACCATGATTCCCTCTGATGTACCATCATCCTTACAAAAGTAATATAAAATAACAAGAAATAATAATAAGTCAGCAATAATAATAAGATAGAGAACACAATGTCCCTGACACAATTAAAAATGGCCTAATGAACATTCTTTATCCCAGTACCTTCTCAGTCTTCAAGGAGATTTTAATCTAATAACTTTAAAGAACACAGAGAATGGGAAAGGTAATTTCTCAACCTGAAAAGTGAAGAGATAAGAGGCATGTGACTAAGCAGAGTGGATAATTTTGAACGCTAAGCCTGCATTTGGGAACACAATACACACTCCAGAGTGTGTCAACAAAGAATCAAAACAAACAAAAAAACATGAGGAAGGCAGAAATCTTGGCTGCAAATTCGCTTAGGAGGCAGCTGCACTCCTAGACATCCTAATACAGACAGTGTATCTGGGAGTCTGCCCTCTGCACATTGGTCAAATACTTGAGACTTACTCTCTGGAGAAGCCCAACCAGACACCGTTTCAGGTGTAGGAATCTATTGAAAAGAGTAGATTCAATGCAAGCCTGAATATTAAGTGGTGAGATCTTAGAACCAAACTAATCTGCAGAGGCAGAAATCAGAATATTATTTACATCTGGTAGGACAATGACTGATTTTTGATGATACCTAGGGGAATATCTTCAAGAAGAAAATGAATAAAATTGATTAAAAATACTTGAAGTGTTATTAAATCATGTTCAGAAATTTCAGCTATAATGGAAAGCTTTGAGATGAATTAGTAACAGGCATTTAGAAAACAAAACTTTAGAAGTCAATTAGTATCAGGAATAAAAAGCTTAAAATTATTATTATATTTTAATTACATTGTGTGTTAGCTACGAATAAACTATATATGACTTTTTAAAATGAAAACAACTAATCATCAACATATTTTAAAACATATTTAAAACAAAATATTTTAAAACATTAATATAATTAGATTGGTGCCACAGAGGGAGAAGAAACATATGTGTGCGTGAGTGACTATGTGAGTAGGAAGGGCAGCAGATGATAGCTAAAACTGAAAAATCAAGAAATAGTAACATACATGTTTTATTAAGAAATATAGAAGTAGGGGCTTCCCTGGTGGCTCAGTGGTAAAGAATCCTCCTGCCAATGCAGGAAACCTGGGCTAGATCCCTGATTCAGGAAGATCCCATGTACCGCAGAGCAGCTGAGCCCCTGGGCCACGGTTGTTGAGCCTGTGCTCTAGAGTCTGGAAGCTGCAACTACTGAGACCACGTGCTGCAACTACTGAAGCCCGGGTGCCTGAGAGCCCACGTTCCGCAAGAGAAGCCGCAGAAATGAGAAGCCCATCTACCACAACTAGAGAGCATCCCCTGCTTGCCACAACTAGAGCAAAGCCTGTGCAGCAATGGAGACCCAGCACAGCCAAAAACAAATAAACAAATAAAATTATTTCTTAAAAAAAAGAAATATGGAAGTAAATAATAATCAAATTATCTTAAAATAATTAAATATATTTACCTCTAGAGATCAAGTATTGACAGCATTGGGTACCATTTTCTCTTGAGAGTACTATCTGATTTTTTTAAAAATTGTAAAAGTACTAGTTTAATAAAATAAAAATCAAATTAAAAAAAGAAAATAAGAGCCAAGGGCTGTGGATACATCAGAATCTGACTTGCTGATTTCCTTAGCCCTTTAAACTCTTAAGGTAAATATTCCAGTGATAGAGAAACAAAACAAAATGAATAAACAAACAAAATTGTCACTCAAACACAGTAGCTTCTTCCAAGACAGAGGATTCCTCTTTACCACTAAATACAACCAGGAGCAATTCTGTCCTGGTTCCTCCTCCCATGGGCATGTCCAATAGTGCCCACCTGGCATGGAACCCGCTCAAGGATTTTTCACTGCCATCTTCGTATATAAAATAGTAGTTCTGCAAATCTTAGGATTTATTCTGCTTTAACAGAGAACGATCTTTCGTACGGCATGACTCCTGGATGCTTTTCAGGTAAGAGACGAGTTTTAGCAAGTATCATTAATTATAAAATGAACAAGCACACTCTGGAAAACCAGTAAGAAGGTTGTTTGCAAACCCAATTACATAGATTTTAACCTGTGTGGTCTATAGCTATATAAGCTTACTATTAACAAATAAGAATATTCATTCAGAGTCATTCAATGATATAGAAAATAAAATCACCAAAACTAGGATAAGGCTTTTGTCTAGAAATATTAAATTCATGTATTTAACTCTTCAGATATGTATTTATTTAAAGTGTTTAAATATTTATTCTATTTTTCTTTCCTTTAAAAGAAAACCCAGAAGATCATGCTTTGAGGGGTATGAAGAAAGGTCAACAGATTCATTATTTAGTGTTGTGGGGAAAAAGAGAATGAATATTTCTTCTGTTGTTGGTATGCATATACTCCTAAGAGTAAAATACAAATGACATAATTAATATAAGGTATATAAATTACAGTTATTTTACAGTTTATTGAGATATAATCTAAAGTTTTGATGACATTATTCAGATTTTGTTTATCTGATGAAAATCATGAGCATGGAATGAAATGAAAATGAAAATGAAATATAATATGAAATGAAACAATATGATTCTCTTATTTATAATAATGATATAAAAATATATGAAGCTCTTGAGCAAGACCAAACTATATAATTATATTTGACATACACCCACACAAAATCTCATATATACACCTATATGGAGAGGTGAGGGGAGAAGAGAAATAGAAGCTTTTAAAAGACTAGTTTACACAGGAGTGGAGACTTTACTTGAAAGATATATAATACCCAGGGAGATGTTATCATAAATGCCATCAAGATGTTATCAAGGGTTACCTGGGGCTAATTCCAGCCTACTTCCTCTTTTAGTCAATAAAGTTTTATTAGGACAGAATCATACCCATTTATTTGAATTGTCTACTCTGCTTTTGCAATAC